ACGAAATCGATGTCCTCGTCTCTCCGTGCGAAGTTCGAAAGCATCAAGACGCGCTTCTTTTCACGTACTGTTTCCACTCGGTATGGATCAAGACCACCGATGATACCAAGGCACTGAGCACAAAGAATCGTGATATCGGAGTGATCTTCCGAGAAACGAACGCTGGCATCGAGGAGTGATCGCGTCAATGCGGCCAAAACCGGAAGAGGCTTTTGGCCAACTATCGACTGATGCAGTTCCTGCTGATTGGCATCCAGAAAAGGCACAAGCTCTATCAGAGCCTGACGCACCACGACCGATGTCTGGTCTTTGCATCTATTGCTAAAGGCTTGGAAGACCTTGATGGTCTCAATCATATCTCTGAACTTTGTCAACTCGCCTTCAATCTTGGAGAACATTGGTATGCCGGCCAGTGAGGGAAGATATTCGACTCTAGCTCGTAGCTGGGGGTTGTACTGGCTTATGATGCTTCCAACAGCTTTATGGGCTTTGAGCTGCGTGTCTGAAGAGAATAACGACCAGTGTTGTACAATCAGTGCAAAGGTTTGATCCACGACTAGCATTGTTTCATCTCCATCAAGAGCTGCCAAAAACGCAGTCCAAACGGTGAATGTATCGTCGCATAGGTCTGGATCTCCGATGGCTGATTGAAGACAGGCGCGGATCTGCGGTAACGCGCCGTTTACGCTAAACCGTGCAAGGGAGATGAGATCGCCGATAGCAGCTATGCAGTTCTTTCTGTCGGGCATCGTATACTGTGTGGCTTTACCCTGGGCGCTAGGAGCCGCGATGACGTTCGAAAGATATGCGATGATGCCCAGAATATGCGTCTCGCAGAAGGCATCTAGATTCTTGGACTTTGACGTCGATTTGCGCTGTCCTGATTTTGTATCTGGTGCGAGCGACGCCAGCGTGCTGAAAGCGCTGTAGTATGGCTTCTTGCCGACTCCCTCTTGGTCTGCGGCCAGCCTGAGTATCTCGATAGCAACACCAGTGATGTCTAGGGCAACCCACGAATCAAGCCTGTTATTGCTGCTCTCTCGGATAGCAGGCTCAATAGCTGCTAACGTTTCCATTGCTGTCTTTTCGACGTCGGCAACGGGCTGTGATAGCAGTAGAGCAAGTATCTTCGAGAGGTTGCCTCTTGGATACGTCAAGACGTCGATGATAGAAGCCTTCCGTGCTTGGGCGATCTTTTCGATGATATCTCTTCTCTTGCTCAAAACGAGATGCGGCAGGGTATCCGCTTGCGTCAGTACCAACAACTGGCGAACGTTTTGCTCGATTAGATCTGCCAATTGCTGCGCTTTCTGGGGCTTCTTGATGTAGTCTTTGATCACTGAGAAACCGATGACCTTCCAGTAAGGACTCAAGAGCTGCATCGTGGACATGGACAACCCTTTGGCGATGGTTTCAAGTTCGCGGTAAGCCATACCACACACCAGTGCGTTGGAATGACCAAAGTATTCGACCAAGTGATGTAATATGATGGGTAGCTCGAGCTCTCCACACGTCAACGCTGTTCGACCATACGCGATGATAAGCGTCTCCTGGTCGGACAGAACGTCGCGCTGTGCTAAAGCGTCCAGGAACTCGATGAATGACCGACGATTTTTACTGCGGGTGTTTTTGGATATATCGTTCCGCAGGAATACCATCAAGGAGCTCGTTGCGGCAAGCTTCAGTTCTCTCAAAGATCTACTCATAGACGCAAGCAGCCACTGCCCTAGCTCACAAATCTCGAGAGACAGATACTCAGAGTCAGAGATGTGGTTATAGACACGGCCAATAGCGACAGCCATTAGTATTCGAGCTTGCTGCGACTCCTCAAATGCTGGCTCTTTGGTTATGGTAAGCATGGCGGCAATGACTTCCTTCCAGCTCTCGCTATCGTCCTGTCTGTTCCAGTATGTCATGGCGCTTCGTTCATGGCGAGAATTCGTATCGCATAGCATGCAGCTAAGCGACTGCACTGGCTGCGATGTAGACTGGGATAGTTCTAGACACCGGGAACCGGCGCATGCAATCTTCGCAAACGCTGTCATGAGGTCCACTTGTACACGTTCATTTTGTTTATCGTCGTCCATCATAGAAGAGTATCTTGCCCTGCAGCTGTCAGCAGTGTACATTTAGGTCAACTTAGATAACTTACTCGATGATATTGTGGAGATTGGTTAGGTTGAGAACCGGGGAGTCATGTGTACTGCCATTCAGTATCATCACGAGTCGTTCATAGGTGGTATGATTGATGTCTGGAGTATCCAGGAGCTTCTTTCGCCGCTTCGCAGGCCTTTCCTCATTGCCCAAGTTCAACATCCGGAAACTTTTCAGGATTGGTGTCGATTCTTCGGAGAGTTGAGCATCCGAGAAACTGCCAGTATCACCCTCGCAGAGCTCTCTCCGTAGGTCCGCAATGTGTATAGGCCATATACCTGGTGCCGTCCAGAGGCAAAGAGAGAGCTAGATTCGATCAGCATGGACAAAAACTGCGGTATTTCACTCATACCTGCAAGTCTTTGTGAAGCTGAGAGAAGTGTTCAACATCCTGACAGGCTCTAGTTACGATAGCCTCAACGTCGTTCAGAACGACCGATCTGCTCATGTTCTTTCGACGTCGTGTGGCTGAGTCGTCCATTAATGGCGAAGTAAGGACACTGCGTAACCGGGTAAGGATGATGCCCAGTCGCACTTGAATGGCTTCTGACGCTAACTCTGGCGCTGTCGATAAACCATCAACGAGATCGCTGAGACTATTTATAAGCGACTGTGCATTCTTCAATGATTCCAATGAACGTTCTCCGGGGGCGCCTGCAGAAAGGAACAGAGTTTCGAGTAGCTGCAGATATGCGAGCGTGATTTCATTGACGAGGATGCCTCCCTCCGAAGTTGCCGTCCAACGCCGAAAATGCTTCCACAAATCTTGAGCACTGTCGACGATCCATGGTACATGGTGATCTAGGGAACTAGGCGTCGCCGACGCTCTGCCCTGGGGCGGAGCAACACATGCCAAGGTGGTGAGAAGACAAAAGCCAGCATGGATAGCTCCGAGTCGCGAACTAACTGCTCGCTGCAGATCATGAGGCAAAGCAATGACTTGTTGGCTGTCTGGCCAAAAGTCGCTGATGCTGCTTGACGATGGTAGGAGTAGGTTGAAAGACAGTACAGCTGCCGAAGCTGGATCATCCATGGACCGCAGCTCTGTCAAAATAGCTAGATAGACGTGAGTACTCGCATAATTAAAATCAGGGTAGTACTTACTTTGCGCACATGATCTATAAAGCTGTGAGACTGCTGCAGCGGGACGCCAGAGGGCAGATGTTCGTACGAGCGCGCTTAAGCAGAGATGCAGTATTTTGTGTACATGTTCGTGCACATAAGTGAGTGCTTCATGTGCTAACAGGCCCAATAACTTAGGAATCAACCAGAGAATAAGCGGAGGACGAGAAATGCTGTCATCTTCGGTCTCTCTAACGCTCAGCAGCAGATGTGGCTTTTGTTGCAAGATGAAAGTGAGCGCGGCAATACTGTCAATACCCTGCTGTCTCTGCTGGTCCTGGGCGAACGGATCATCTTTGAACAAGCCTTCAAGTCCTGCTTCGGCGATGACACTTATGAGCGCTACGAGCTGTGCATCGGGCTCGTCCGTGTTTGGGTGTTGGAGAAACTCTTTGACCAGCTCACCAAAGCTGACTTTGGTTGCCTCGCCCTGCCACGCATGAACATTTGACGCATTATTGACGATTTGGGCCGCAATGGTCGACGGTGGGGGCACGCCATTCGAGTTGCCGTTAGTCACAGGTGGCGGTGCCATCCGCTGAGTCGAGCTCCCGCCTTTGCGGGCCATGATGCACGTTACCGATGTGGCATGTCGGACAGGTAAGGAAAGAGTGGAAACTTGGCAACTGCCTGCTGGCGATGATGCTGGGTCTTTAGACTCAAGCGAGCGTTGGTAGCGGTCTTGACTGATTCAAGATGGTATTGACGGTGGATTCGCCTGATTGGACGCTGGTGAGGTTCCTGTCTGCAATTTCCGCCGTGGCGCTCGTGGACCTGCAAAGAGTGGCGTCTGGCGTTATTAATACATGGCTCCGTCTGCAATCGCGCAGTTTGCGATGTGATCGGTGGTTTGACGAGTGTGTGGGGTTTGCTATGAAGATGCATGGGTTTACGTGGACGCGAAATCACGTAGTCACGGGACCGCGCTAAGCCCGATCTCGGGAAAGAGCGCTAGGTACTCCGCAATTCGATATGGAAGCGTCGAACCATTCTCACCTAAACCACTGCGCCAACAACCTCGAACGGTATATACGTCAAGCACCATACCAACACCCATATTGCACAATTTTGGGTCGAGCACGCCCTAGACCGCAGCCATGCCTGGCCCCTTCACCTCCAAATCCTTCAGCGCCACACTCCCCAACTCGCTCGCCGCAAAGTACCGAAAGTCGCTACAAAAGCACCCGTTCCTACTCTTCGGCCTACCGTTCCTGTCTACGATACTTCTCGGGTCGTTCATGTTAACTCCCGCCACGGCGCTGCGGTACGAGCGATACGATCGCAAGAACCAGCAAATCACACATGAACAGGCTATGGGCCTGAGAGGAGAGCGGAGGAAGGTGAATATGAAGGACGAGTACTACGTGCGTATACTGGGCAACAAGGCAACCGTAAGGGTCTGGACTGACAGTTGCGCAGAGATTACAGGCGAAAGACATCGACGACTGGGAGCAGAGGCGTGTCAAGCGGCTACCGGGCGAGCCAGATGGCACCCTTGTGTAATTGTGCTATGTAGATATACAACAGCATCGGAAACGGCGTCACGGAAGGCGATTAGCGAAACAAACTCGATACCTCTGTACGATAAAGAAACATTCCATCCTCTTCGACGAACGCATACCACGTACGAAAGCAAATACCAAGACCAGGTTGCTACAAACCACAAAAGCTGCGCTGCTGTCATGAATATGCATGCCGAGAAGCGTCTGTATTCAACAACGCAGTTATTTCAATGCTGCGTCCTCTCCTTGACCCATGGTAATCTGGCGCATCGACGCTGTGACTGAGAGAAGGCTGTTCTCATAGCCCAGTAAAGGTTGAGCCGATACGTTGTAGGCTTGAGCCAACTGCACTTCCTGTTCGTAGCTGGTTTGCGATCCGTCCAATCTCACCCACATGTCGTTATGATACTTGAACATCCGGTCTCTGCTATCGTAACGATAGTATAGTTCTCGGCCGGCATCCCATACCCAGGGCGTATCGCTCTTCGCTGGAACAACCTGATCAAGGGTCGGGTTCATTCGGCTGAGGTCGGACTCCATGTCGTCAAGGAACTTGGTGATAAGGGATCGTGTTTCTCCCCAGCCGCTTCCGTGACTTTGTTTAGCCGGGCGGACCAGCTTGTCCATGAGATTGTCAGTTCGGTAGATGTATCCAAGTGCTTCGCCGGCGATGACAGTCCCTGCGCCGATGATTAGGTACGAGTTGTTGGCCCTCAACTTTGCCTCGACATCGGCTCTACGCCTCTCGTGCTCATCACCTAGCATCGTTAGACTGAAGGAATACACGTAGACTGTCGGGCCATGGTCTTACCGCCCGCGTCTGCCTTCCAGGTACTAGGCCATATAAATCCTGAAGCTATAAAACTCGTTCGAAGGTGGCGGACGGCGTAGGTAATTCCAGTACCGATGTTGTATTTTTGTGTTTCGTCCATGATCCGTCAGGGGAAACTATCAGTCAGTCTCGTCGAGTAAATTGTGTAGCCAGGCTGGAAGGCAAACGTTTATTTGTGCTTTATGAAGGCAGTATATGACTAGCATAGCGTGGCAGAGCGATGGCGTAGAACAAGAATGATCCTGCGGGACTCAAGTCCTTCGCATTCTGTGTTGTCAAGTCTCAGCCTGGCAGTCTACGCCCTTGGCCGCTCAACATGGGCAGCAACATGTATCCGGAGTTTACTTCACAAGGGATTGGCATCGCATTTGACGCAGCCTATCGTCAAAGTAGTTGCGACTGCCCATTCACGTACTTGGTCCATGTCATCCACGTATGCCTCGCGTCACAGCCCGACACATACACACTGCGTCGTTTGACCGGGTCGTACGATCCTCCTATAGGATGAAAGCGCATGGGGCTTATTACGAGTACACAGTAGTGCCCATGATAAGGCCTTGTAGCCCTTCAGGCGTGCGCGCAGGAAGGCTGAAGAATGAAAAAAAAAGGCGACTTTGAGTGAGGAGATCACTCCAAGTATACCTGGGTAAATCAGTATGGCGCACCCGTGCACTACTCGAAATGAATGATGGAATAGCGGAAAGATCATGAGCAAAGTTGACAGCTGAGGGTGGCCTGCACGACCAGAGGTGAAATCAGAGGAGGCTGTGTCAAATCCAGTGGTCATGATAATCTCAGAGAAGGCTACAGTCGTTGCATTACAAGGAGAAGTGGGCGAAGCCTGTAAGCACTGAAAACAAGCGATGCACCCTTGGCTGACGATGCAGTCACGCTCGCAGGCACATGCCCAGGTGGGTGCCTATTCGCCGGTTACATAAGTGGCTGCATGACCGTCCAACCGCAGAAAGCCACATTTCTGACCAGCTGAGTGATTATCTTTCAGCCTGGCATCACAAAGACGCAATGAGATATTGAGTCATTCAGCTGCTTTTCATCCCGCCGACCTTTTGAACGAAGATCATCAGTGTATAGTGCTGCTGTTTACCCTTGTCCTCGGTCCCTCAGCGATACGCGTCCATCTTGTTGCATTGTCGACCTCACTTTCTGCCGTTGTCGCACCACCCAACAGTCAGCAACATGTCCGGCGTTAGTGTTATTATTGAAGCTGTAAGTAAAGTCACTATACAGTGCTAGTTCTAGTATCTTACATGGGACAGCGAGATAATAGATTCGAAAAGGGCGATTATGTCAGAATGAAAGTAAAGGAAACGCTTGAGGACGGTACGAGTGGATATGTCTGGAAAAAGATGGAGGTTTTGGGGGCGAGAATAAACCCGTCAAACGCGTATTGGGAATACAGGGTTGGTACGAATTCCGAAGATGCCAGCAAAAAGAGAGGATGGATAAGAGAGAGGGATCTGAAGGCTGGAGGGTAGCACACACATCTGCAGGCGTTCAGCCACTAGCTCTGTTGCCACATACAGTGTTTTTCAGCTTGGTGACGGCTTGCAGTAATATGTCAGCAATAAACATCTGCTGGGGTATGAAAGCCCCGCTCTCCATTCTTGTCAAAATCCCTTCTCTTTCCTCCATAGCTCGAAAGCGTAACGGTCATCAGCCAAGGCTGATGCGAGACACAATCAATTCTTGATGCAGACTTCAACTGCTCACCCTCAAGACGAGGACCAGTCAAAACGTGTCGAAGATGTGGAAGCTGGTGAAAGTGATGATGCGATTGGAAGTTGAGTCCTCCAGGAGTCTTACTAAATGAACACAGTTGACCATTGCTGGTAGCATCGAGGAATAGCTGGTGGCTACGGTCTTGGAGGGATACAATGAACGAGCGTGCGAAACAGAAGCTGGAGCTGAAGAATCGTGAAAAGCAACACAAGGAAATGGTAAAGAAAATAGTGGCGATTCTCAACAAGCCATATTCCGTTCAAGGTATCCCCATTAGCGAAGCGGATGAAACTGTTTTGCCGTCTAACCCTTCTCAGAGAGCGACTTCCCGTCAGGCTACCCGCTACTAGCAGCCTTGCAGTCAAGCACACATGATTTCGCCATCTATCGCAATTTTAGTTATCTGCATTCCCGCGTCATACTTGAGCTCCAAGATCAACTTCGCGAACTCGAGGGACGACTCCAATTGCTGGACAGATTACATTCCGAGTCTGAAGATCCAGAGCAGAAAGAGCGTGTCACTTCCCGTGTCAAGGATATGGAGGCTGCTCAGATGAGTGATCCGGTTCCCATAGTAGTAGATGACACAACCCTCAGCGAGAGAGCCGTACTCCTCGAGAAGATCCAACAGAAGCTCGTGAGGTATGACGAGGTCCTGGTGCATGCTCGCAGGCTTGCCGAATTCCAAAGGCCAACCGACGACGAGTGGCTGAACCTTCGAAAATGGTACTTCAACCGCCAGGCTCTGAGTTCGGACGATGAAGACGAATTCATCAGGATGAAACACGACCTTATCACCTTGAAACCGAGGACTGAGTCTGGCAAAATCGATGACTGGATCAGAAGTCTCCTTGTTACTCTGGGCAAGGGTCAAATCACTGTGAGTATCTTGGGAAGCCTGTGACGAAGAATCCACGAGACTGACACTGTGAAAAGAATATCTTCTACAAGCCTGATGATGAGGGCTTCCAAGATGGATACATAGCCTACTTTAATGTTGCGCGAATCGAAGGCGTGGCTGTCGTGATAGTCGCGATTGTCATCATCCTCTTATTAGCCGTGCCCGTGTTTGTTATGTACCGCGTAACATGGACGGGTACTCGTGCTAGCACGTTCCTCAACATAGGGCTCTTGATAGCCTTCGGACTCCTATTCTCTGCAGCAATGGGTCTTCTGACAAGAGCTAAGCGGGCGGAGCTTTTCGCGGCGACAGCAGCATATTGTGCCGTCCTGGTGGTGTTCATTGGAAATTTCAGTAGTAATGTTGGATCGAACTCCTCGTGAGGAGAAGGACCACCACGCATTTTGTGTACACATAGTGATAGATTGGACGTGACGCAGTATTATTCGTGGTTGTATCTCGATGACGCTCGTGTAATCTGTGTTGAGCTTGTCATTAGATGGAAAAATGAGAGAAGATGAAGGAAGTACGCTCATGACCGCTGTAAATGCAATACAAAACAACTCGCTCGAACGCTTCGCTACAAAAGACAGACAGGAAACAACAAATTAAGCCTCCAAAATGCTACAAAGAAACGACAGCATGTAAGGCCGTGAGACGAGAGTCGTAGGAAAAGGAAAAGAAAAACGCAAGCGGGTATCCTCTAACGATTCTAGTCGTGAAGATGTCCTGCTGAGAAGGTGTGTGACGATCGAAGGTACGAACAAGCGTACACCCGAGACGAAGAGCCAAGTTGGGGTAGATGTTAACAACACCTACCACTCTTGCTCTTCTGCGCCCGGTTGATGTCTTCTTCCCAGTCTTGCTGATGTCCAGCGACGTTGGGTGTAGTGGGGAAGCCCAGCCAGCTCCGCCTTTTGTCACCTGTGCCTAAGCGGAAGCTTCCATTACCCGTTCCAGGGTAGTCGAAGTATCCAGCCACATTGCCGTTGTTGTCCATGGCCGGGGTGACACCAGCCATAGCGTATTGTCGTTGTTCTTCTTCGAGCTTCTTTTGCTGCTGCTCGACTAACTTGCGGGTGATGACGCGGAACACCTCGTCTACACCTTCGCCGTCTTTGGCGCTGATCTCGTGGCAGCAATCCCAGCCCAAGTCTTGTCCCCAGAAACCGCTCGATCGATTGCTTTGAGGCGACGCCATACCGCTGTGGAAGGCTGCCGGTACAGAGCCCCAACCGCTTGCTGCAGCACTGTGTGGTTGTCCGTTCTGTGTGGGGTGGAGGTTCTCGGCGACGTATTCGATGCAGCGCTCAAAGGGCACTTTCCGCTTGGTGGGGTCTTCGGCTACGACGTCTGACTTTGTTCCTACAACATGGAGGATCACGTCCTCTCCGAGATTCGTTTTAAGTTCCTTGAACCAGCGGCCCATCTCCTCGAACGAATAGGGATCGGTGATGTCGTAACATAGTACTGCAGCATTTGCGCCTAGAGAAAATGTTAGTTCTGCGCTGAACGTTTGCTCATAGTAGACGATCCGAACTCGGCTGCCGAATGTGGGGTATCTTAGTAGCGGAAAGAGACCCGATGTGTATTGCGACAGAATATGAGAGTTGATTCGGCGAAAGGAACAATACTAACGTACCCCTATAATACAGCTTGGATATGGACCGGAAGCGCTCCTGGCCGGCGGTATCCCATATCTGTAACCGAACCACTGTGGAGGTGTCGATATCCACAACCCTCTTTGTCAAGAAGGAAGCACCCACGGTGGACTGTGTCGTGGGAGGCGTAAAAGCGTTCTTGACATATCGGTGGACGAGAGAAGTTTTTCCAACTCCTTGGCTACCGAGGACCACGATCTTTGCTTCCAGACTGTTGGACATATCGCTGTATTATGCCAAATCTATTTGTATACGTCGGTGTTGGCGGTGCAGGGATGGGGCGGCAGGCGGTGTTGTGGGGTCGGCTCAGATATGCGCGGTCGCGGTGCCTCGGAGCAAGAAAGAAAGGAAATGCGTGGGAGGCGGCGGGAGAACAAGTTGCATGGCGAGCAGTGAGAAAGAGTCGCCGGCAGATGTGAGAAGAGGCAGAGGATTGACGTAGAGGGTATCTGAGAATATTAGGCAGGAGGTGAGTGCCCGAATGACAGCCCAGCTGCGTTTGGCGCTTGCACCGATTCTCTTGGCTAGGGGAGCCATGTGACAGGCGCCTTAAGCCAATGTGAATCAGATCTGAGAAGGGTGCGTCCCAGATGGGAATATGAATGCCCATCGTGATCGCAGCCCTGGGTACTGATAATCATCCAGGGGATGACGCGCCATGTTGATGCTGTGTGTCGGGCAGTCAACAATGCACGTCATGCCCAGCCAGCTGTCTCTTCCCCGCGTTTCGGAGCAGCACGGAGTCTTCCACGCGACCGACGAGAACGTTAATACCTACCCCAACTAAGCTCCCTCAACGAACGACAGGTCCTGGCCGACACATATATCCTCAAGAAAGCCGCCTGCAAAGGACCGAGACGGGATGCCTAATGCGACAAGCCCGGAATCGATCTCGCCTCGAGCTCATGGGCTAGGGTGCTAATTCAGATGCGTCTCCGCGACCAGCATCCGAAGGCCGCGGGGATGAATGTACCGAGCTATTACCCCAAACATGCTGCCGTCACCAACCTGGCCCTTCCGCTCGTCCAAGCCCTCTAGTGTCTGGAAATAACCTAGACCGGCTCCATATATTTTCTGGCCTATCTTCGCGTCTTGATTACCTGCCCTTCAACATTTCGCGCTCGACACACCGCCGCCACGATGAACCACGACAGCAACAACACCCAGAAGGTGAAGCTCACCGGCGAGCAGGTCGCCCAGCACAACAACGCAGAATCATGCTGGGTCATCATCCACGGCCGCGCCTACGATGTCACCGAGTTCCTGCCTGAGCATCCCGGAGGCCAGAAGATTGTCTTGAAGTATGCTGGCAAGGATGGGACCGAGGCATTCGAGCCAATCCACCCGCCCGACACGCTCGACAAGTATCTCGACAAGTCCAAGCACTTGGGCGAGGTGGACATGAACACCGTCAAGGAAGAGGCAAAGGAGATTGATCCAGATGAGGAAGCGAGGCAGGAGCGCATTGCGCGCATGCCTATTCTGGAGCAATGCTACAACTTGATGGACTTTGAGGCCGTCGCGCGCAAGGTCATGAAGAAGACGGCATGGGCATACTACTCCAGTGGTGCCGACGACGAGATCGTACGTCTCTCTCAACGATAACCGCCATTGCCCGAGCTAACTTCGACAGACACTACGAGAAAACCACAGCGCATTCCACAAGATCTGGTTCCGACCACGCGTACTCATCGACGTCGAGAAGGTTGACATGTCGACCACCATGCTCGGCACCAAGGTCGACATACCATTCTATGTGACCGCGACAGCGCTGGGCAAGCTCGGCAACCCAGAGGGAGAGGTCGTTCTTACGCGCGGCGCACACAAGCACAACGTTGTCCAGATGATACCAACACTGGCATCCTGCTCGTTCGACGAGATCATGGACGAGGCAAAAGACGGTCAAGTCCAATGGCTGCAACTGTACGTCAACAAGGATCGCGAAGTCACAAAGCGCATCGTGCAGCACGCCGAGAAGCGCGGCTGCAAGGGTCTCTTCATTACAGTCGATGCACCGCAACTCGGTCGTCGCGAGAAAGACATGCGAAGCAAATTCGACGATGTCGGTAGCAACGTCCAGAGCACCGGCGGCGACAATGTTGACCGGAGTCAAGGCGCCGCACGAGCCATCTCGTCCTTCATTGACCCGAGCCTCAGCTGGAAAGATATCCCGTGGTTTAGGAGCATTACCAAGATGCCCATCATTCTCAAGGGTGTGCAATGTGTTGAGGATGTCATCCGCGCCGTTGAGGTTGGTTGCGATGGTGTAGTCCTGTCCAACCACGGTGGTCGTCAACTCGATTTCGCTCGCTCCGGTGTTGAGGTTCTCGCAGAGGTCATGCCAGTACTTCGCGCCCGCGGCTGGCAAGATCGCATCGAAGTATACATCGATGGCGGTATTCGACGTGCAACAGACATCATCAAGGCTGTTGCACTCGGCGCCAAGGGTGTAGGCATCGGCAGGCCTTTCCTCTACGCCATGTCCGCATACGGTCTGCCAGGTGTCGACCGCGCTATGCAGCTGCTGAAGGATGAGATGGAGATGAACATGCGCCTTATTGGTGCTTCAAGCATTGCGGACCTGAACCCTTCGATGCTTGACACAAGAGGACTCAGCATGCACACTGCTACTGTGCCTCACGACACTCTGGGTATGAATGTCTATGACCCGCTCATTGGACCTCAAGAGAGTGTTGTCAAGGAGAAGTCGAAGTTATAGAGGAGCTTGTGATTATGTTGTATATATATTTTGGCGCAGCGCAATCCTTCAAATATGGTCAATTCAAAACCGTTTTAAGATGTCGTCTTCGAACCAAATCGAACATCACCTCAACTTCTTCATATTCTGACATGTACCGTCATTCACATACTTGCGCTTGGAAGTATCCACATGTGGCATCCTTTGTCCGCATCGTGACTACGCGTAGACGCGTTCGGCGAGTGGGGAAGGAGCGCCCGGTGGACCTTCCGATCGTCAAGCGTCCTTGAACCACGGGTCGCTCTTTCCAGTTCAATCGCAGCACGCCTCGTCCATTCACATTATCGCACCTTATTATTTCCCATATCCCCGCCTTTGAATCGCCTTCGCATCATCGCTTTTACTTTTTGATTATACCTTAGTATTATTCCATGGGCGCTCCTGACGTTGCAGCGCAGCCGGGCGCGGGCTGGGACGAAGCGCAATGCACAGCAGCACTCGCGCAACTGGAGCAGCTCCAGGCGCAGGTGAGAATCGCATGCCGCCTTCTCTGGACAACTTGTACTAATATGCGACAGATCAGCGACATGCGCCTAGCCATCCCCCGCATCATCGAGCCCTTCCACCGCCCTCGCAGTTCCGCGACGTATAAACTCTACGCCGATGGCGTACTCGGCTCTCAGAAGAACCTCGATTCCCTCAAGAGCCAGTGGAAGTCACCTGAATTACAGAGCACGTTCGAACACGTCAAGCAGAGCCTCGGCGCAAATGCGGATTTGTCAGAGAGCGTATCGATACCTTCTCATGGCTGGGCGGAAAGAGCGCGGAAGGCGAATGAGTCGACGAAAAGTCAAGGAGGAGAGAATAAAGAGGACAGTGGTGCTATTGTTACTGACGAGGATATGGAGAGGATTGTGGTTGAGTTTAGGAAAGCGCATCCGAATCTCAAGGTCGAGACACATGATGAGGATCGCAGCATCCAGACACGCTTCGTCGCCGGGTCTCTCATGCTGAAATTCCGCGTTGGCATCGAGCGCGACACGAACGGACGGCACAAACTCAACGCAGAGTGTTTGGGGACAACGGAGCCCTTTCTGGCTATCACAAGATGTATTGCATCACGGTCAAGTCCAGATGACTTGAAGTATCTGTTGGTATGTACATGGAGTTTTGTGGCATGGGAATTCTTTGTGTGAATGCTAATTGTTACAGGATATGATTGCTGCGTACAAGACTGTGAAAGGAACGTCGTGTGCTAAATGCGGGAAACTTCTGGATGACTCGGCGTTGACGCCTACTGCGCGACGAAGTAAACAGGTCGCTGGAACGACTGATGCTCTTGAAACGGTTTGGGAAGCTTTTCATGAAGGCTGCATCTGAACAGGCTTCTCAATGGGACGTTGTCCTAACGGAAGCGCCAATTTCTCCCGAGTTCGTTCTCGACGGGACCTCCGTATTCCCATGGCAGATGTTGACCATCCTGCCACCAGGTACCGTGCACTTTTCGAACAGCTTCTGGAAATACGTTGTACTCTCTGTTCTTGTATGGTTCTGATTGCCATATCGCGTCCGTCCACATCCCAGGATGACGCTTCACGTATTTTCTGGTCCGGAAGTCGTACGCTTCTTCCCGTGAGCGTCCGCCCGAAAACATACCTCCTTCTGTCCAAGGAGCGAATTTCGAAGCACGGAAGCCGATCGGCTGAGGGTCTCCGTCGAGGTTGACATGCTTGGACCACTGAGATCGTGATGGACGATTGGCCACAAAGTCTCTTGCATCAGCCGCACAGGTGACGAAGATGTCTGGGCCTTTGCCTTTGAGGATATCGCTGAGGCGTCCCAATTTGGAACCATTTTTACCGTCTTTAGGCCAGATGAAAGCTTTCGAACTTTTTACATTCTTGAGTTTCCGCCCGTCTCGATACCATCCATTGGACGGACAGTAACGACCCCGAAGGTGTCGGGCGGGCCCGTTGTGTCTCCACGGGTCCTGGAAAGGGCTGTCGAAAGGAAGGAATATTGGTAGATCAGGCAAAAGTCCCGCCATGTTGTCAAAGTAGTATATCGCGTAGGAGCAATATTCGAAGATTATCTCGAGAACTAGTCGCTTTTGAGTATTCCATATTATCAGTCGTTTGCTAGCGCAGATCGCAAAGACAAGATAGTTTTACACAACATAGCTGAGGCTGAGCGTGTGTATAGTCGTTTGCGTGCCGCCACTGCCTAGCATACAAAGTTTTATATCATTCCGTCATGCACCCGCTCGCATTTGGCTCATCTTGGAACTGCTGGGCGTGGCCTTACGCCTGCTATGTCAACCTTTGATCAATCGCTTGATTTCCATACTCCCTAGATTGTGCATGATGAAGTACCACGGTAAAGCTGGTATCCAGATCTAATTTCAATCCAGTGATGTTGGGAGAAGACAAGATGGTACTAGTCCTTTCACACGACGCGGTACCTGAAAGACAGGGATCGCGAGGGTCCGAGCTCTCAAGCTTGAACAACGCGATCTCGTTTCTCCAGGTTTGTTTTCGGGACCATCAACAGCACCGCCCAACACACCACCATGTCGCTTTTCGGCAATCTTGGAGGCTCGCAGCCCGCCTCTACTGGCGCATCCGGTGGAGGCCTGTTTGGATCAGCAACCGGCGGATCAGGCGGTACTGGATCAAGCTTGTTTGGCAACCTGGGCGGAAACACTTCGAATGCGCAATCTGGTACGACACAGGCACCAAGCTCTGGAGGCTTAGGAGGCGGACTTTTCAGTGGATTGGGCGGAGCAAAGCCCGCTACGACCACGACATCCTCACTGTTCGCTGGCGCCGGATCGACTTCGCAGCCGCAAACACAAACGCAACCCAGCAGCCTTGGGCTGTTCAACAATACGGCGTCGCAATCAACAACCAACAACGCGCAACAAACGAGCGGTTTCGGCCAGTCTTCCCTCTTCGGCGCTACCTCGAACCAGCAGCAACCCCAACAGCAGCAGCAGCAGCAACAGCAACAGGGCACGTCACTGGCCCAGGCAAACGCTGGCACCGGTCGCTCAGCCCACTTCGATAATCTGCTCGAGCGAGGGCGAAAGCGCAATGCTGGTGAGAATGGCACGACCAACTTCGACGAGCTGCCGTCATTGCAGCTGGGCCTTGGAGACATCGCACGCAAGGTGCGCAACCTGGGCGCTGGCGGTCCCTCAGCCGACCAGGTCCAGGACCGCTCACAGGATCGCGCCGCGTAGGTTCAACACAATCGTGACATGTGATCGCATGCTGACTACTTCCAGACACTACCTACTCTCCGCCTCCGGCGTGAAGATGGGTAGCACCCTCCGCGACCTCAACCAATTCTCCTCGCAGGCCGGACTCGCCGCACCCGGCCAGGCACAGAACCTCTTCGACAACGACGTTGACGGCTATATCTCCAACCTGCACTCGCAATCAACCCTGGCGCTTATCCAGGAAGGTCTCGAGCAATCCAAGCGCGATTTCGACACGTTCCTCGAGGACAATGTTCAGATTGAATGGGACAAGCAGAGGCAAAGGATCTACGAACACTTTGGGCTTGGCCGACAGAGCGAAGACATGGCAGCATCTCAGAGCGGCGCATTCGGCAGCACAGCTCGCGGAGCTTTTGGACGCGCGACTGGGCGCAAGGGCCGTTCCATGGGACCCAACGGTGCATCTGTCAACGGTCGATCCACCTTTGGAGCCTCTGCTGCTGGACCGCCTGTTCTCGGTGCTTCCCAGAGCGTTCTTGGCGGGCGTGATTCGTCCGACAAGTCAGTCATGGGCGGACAAGCTGCTCCTCAGGATCGATACGCTCGTGACAAGCAAGAGAAGTTTATGGAAGAGGTCAAGAAGCTCAACGAGTCCAGGCTACGGGAGAGTACATTCTCGGTACTTCATGCGTTCTCTGATGTAGAGAAGGCTGCCGGTACAGAATACTCGGACCAGTTCACACGCGCCTACGGAACGCTCATCTCCATCACCGGCGAGAAGACCGAACTCGAGGCATCCAACCCTGGCTCTAACCAACCAAAAGAGCGAAGTTTCGCCAGCGACTACCTGGACGAACAACCAAACTCTGCTGCTAGCGTTCGCATGCGCAAGCGTATACTCGACGGGTCTCGAAAGTACCTGGAAAGCAGGTTCCTGGAGCAGGTAGAAGACGTCCTACGGAGAAACCCCGCGGAGGCGCTTGTTGGTGGCGTTCCCTCAATGCTCAACAAGATCCGAGGCTTCGTGAGAGCAAAGGCTGCATTCAAGGAGCTTGGCGCAGACACTGAGCTATTCCAACGGATAGGCGAAGCTGGAGAAGAGTTTCCCTGGATCATCATATTCTTCCTCCTGAAGGGTGGTCTGCTTACCGAGGCTGCTGAATATGTACGAGAGAAGAGGAACTTCTTTCAGAACACCGACCGGAACTTCCAGGCGGCGATATCCCAATACGCCAGCGATCCGGACCGAAGACTGAACCCCGATACGCAACAGAAGGTCGCTCACACACATGCCCAGAGGACCCGCTTGAAGACGCCAGAGGACCCTTACCGACTGGCTTGCTACAAGATCGTTGGTCGATGTGATATGAGCAAGCGCAACCTGGAGCCGATCAGGGAGAACATGGACGACTGGGTATGGCTGCAGTTCAACCTGGCCCGCGAGGGAAACCGCGCTGAGGAAAATGCCGGCGAGATCTTCGGCTTGGAAGAACTGAGAACAGTCATCAAAGACATTGGTCAGCGCCACTTCATGAACGACGACGCTGAATCATCGGGCGGCTATGGAGTTTACTTCTATCTCGCTACGCTGGCTGGCCTGTTCGAGCCAGCTATCAACTACCTCTACACCCACAACTACGTCTCTGCGGTTCATTTCGCGGTCGCTCTAGACTACTACGGCCTCATCCGCGTGTCGGACTGGACAACTGCAGGTGGAGAGATCATGACCTTTACTACGCGACAACAACCACAGCTCAACTTTGGACGCATCGTCGGCCACTACACAAGCGATTTCCGTGCTGCACGAGCTGATGCTGCGGCTGACTACTTGGTGCTGATCTGCATGAACGCGGATCTACCAGGTGAAGCAGGCCGACAACAGGCAGAGCTCTGCCATGAAGCTCTTCGCGAACTTGTGCTTGAGACGCGCGAGTTCTCTACCTTGTTGGGTGACGTCAAATCCAACGGCGAGACGACACCGGGTCTTATCCAGGAACGCGTGCCGTTGCTCAAGCTAGACGGCGAGATGGGCTTGTTGAACACCATTACTAGCGAAGCCGCGAGGATGGCAGACGACAACGGACGCATCAACGACGCCATCCTGCTCTGCCATCTTGCTGGCGAATATGACAGTGTCGTAACGATCCTGAACCGCGCGCTGGCTGAGGCACTCTCTGTAGAACTCGGTCAAGAGCCTCTCCGCCTGGAGCCGTTGAAGCCGCGTCTGACAGCTGCGGAGTCACAACAGCAGCAACAACAACGAACCGATCTGACCTCGTCAAGCTTGAGCATGCTGGGAACAGACGACCCTGTCGAGCTCGCGCAGAAGGTTCTTGCGTTGTATGACGCGAACAGCCTGTGGTGGAGGAAGGTGTCGCAGATGAACCGCGATACAGTTGGAATACTATTCCAGCTCAATAACGCGAAGAAGGTCATCGAAGCCGGCGACTTCATGGCGGCACTCGGCGTAAGTTCTTACTTCTTTACTCATGACCAGTCACTAACATCCCGCAGCAAATCGAGAACCTCCGCATTCTTCCTCTGTCAGCCAACGGAAATGTCAGCGACATCCGTGCCACCGCCAACAGCTTCAACTCCTACCCACAAGAAATCTCGCGCAACATTGGCAATGTACTTCTCTGGTGCATCGGCTGCTGCTCGAGACATCGTGAGCGTCTTCTATCCGGACAGTTCGAGGACAAGATGCGCAAGGTTCTCGCTGATCAACTTCTGCAGAAGGCAAAGGATCTTATGGTCTTTGCTGGTTTGATCAAGTACAAGCTGCCACCAAGGGTCTTCGAGACGCTGGCAAGGGAGGGTCAGGAGGTTGGTGCTTTCTAGAGCTGCAGTGGTAACGATAGATGTTTGCAGGTTGGAGTCTTTGGATTTGGCAAGGCTGTAATAGCATGTGCTTGGAAGCGCTTGGGATCGTGAGGAAAAGGTGATTGAGCATCTGCACAGCGATTGGGCACGTTTGGCTTGACATAGAGTGATACCAATAAATCATTGTAATCCGCGGCCAATCGTACCTTCCTGTGATCGTGATGCCTGGACGCCTTCGCCGGAAGAGGCCGCGTGGGGTGATGGCTAAGAAGACCATGTCACAGTAGTGGTACGGTGACCGTGGCGCAGGCAATGTCTCGCCATCTTGGCCATTGTTGGCATGCAACTACCACCAATTCAAGCAACGAAAAGGTCGTCCGATGCCAGGAACGTGCCGGTGGCCGGTGTTGGAGTTCGCCAGACGATCCTTCGAGGCTCGGGCTGATCGGCGGAGTGGTGTGACCCCACTTGACGGACCGGGGAGCTCTTTTCTTTTGGAGCTCCCACGTCATATGCGCGCGACGCCGCGACCCAGGCTCCGACTCCCATCACCTTATCTCCAGTTTGAGTAATACCATCAACTGCTGCCTATGATACATAAACACCACATAGAGGTCATCTAATCACCAACTAATCGTATTACCTCTGCTACTCACAACCACCCAGGACTCGGCAAAGCTACCCCTCCAACCGCCGTTGAGACCTGAATCTTCCCAACACGTAGGGACCCGCTTCTTCTCGGCGTCTTAACTTTTCCAACTAGACAGGTGAATCCACATTGACCTCATACTGACCCACGGCCAAATATCTCTTCGGACCTTCGCATCCAGCTGCGACTACCTCCAGCCTCCACTTACTACCTCAACTTCAACCTATACCTCTCACCCCGCCTAATACCCCAATCAACAATACCCAGACTCACAACATGGCGCCCACCGAGATCCCGCCGCCCCTCGATGGCAAGAAGAGGCGCATTGGAGTCATGACGAGCGGAGGTGACGCGCCCGGCATGAACGGTGCGGTACGCGCTGTCGTGCGTATGGCGATTCACAACAACTGCGAGGCCTTTGCCATATACGAGGGCTACGACGGTCTAGTCAAGGGCGGAGACATGATCAAGGAGATGCACTGGGAAGACGTCAGAGGCTTCCTGTCAGAAGGTGGTACTCTCATTGGCACAGCACGATGCATGGAGTTCATGCAGCGCGAAGGCCGCCGGACGGCCGCGAAGAACATGATCATCAAGGGTATCGATGCGCTGATTATCTGCGGTGGTGACGGATCCCTCACAGGTGCTGACAAGTTCCGCGCGGAGTGGCCGGAGCTGCTGAAGGAACTGGTGGAAGAGAAGCAGCTCACCCAGGAGCAGGTTGAGCCCTTCAAGCACCTGAACATCGTCGGTCTGGTCGGCTCCATCGACAACGACCTTTCCATGACCGACGCTACCATTGGCTGCTACACCTCGCTCGGACGTATCTGCGAAGCCATCGACTCGGTCGACACCACCGCCGTCAGCCACCAGCGTGCTTTCGTTATCGAAGTTATGGGTCGACACTGTGGTTGGCTTGCACTCAGCGCTGGTGTCGCAACAGGCGCCGACTTCGTCTTCACACCCGAGAACCCACCAAGCGAAGGCTGGCAGGAACAGATGTGCAAACAGATCAAGAAGCAGAGACAAATGGGCAAGCGGAAGACCATTGTCGTGGTCGCCGAGGGTGCCATCGATCGCAACTTGAACAAGATTACCTCAGAACAGGTCAAGGACATTCTGGCGAAGGAGGCGAAGCTCGACACACGAGTGACAACTCTCGGACACGTCCAGCGTGGTGGTACACCCTGCGCCTACGACCGTATGCTTGCGACACTCCAGGGTGTTGAAGCTGTCAAGGCGGTGTTGGAGGCTACCCCCGACACACCCAGCCCGGTCATCTGTATGCAAGAGAACAAGATCGTCCGACGGCCGCTCCTCGAGGCGGTTGCGCAAACCAAGGAAGTCGCTGTGGCCATCGAGAACAAGAACTTCTCAAGGGCCATGCAGCTCCGTGACACTGAGTTCGAGCAACAATACCAAGCCTACCAAATCACCACCGCACAAGATCAGCCAGACCTTCTATTACCAGAGAACAAACGCATGCGCGTCGGTATCATCCACGTAGGCGCTCCAGCCGGAGGTATGAACGCAGCGACCCGTGCTGCGGTTGCACACTGCATTGCCCGCGGCCACACACCAGTCGCGCTCCACAACGGTTTCCCTGGCATAATCCGCCACCACTCCGATGAGCCAGTTGGTGCGGTTCGAGACATCAAGTGGATCGACGCTGAGACCTGGGCCTCCAAGGGTGGATCTGAGATCGGAACGAACCGTGGGCTCCCTAGTGAGGATCTCGAGACTGTTGCGTTCGTCTTCAAGAAGTTCAACATCCAGTCTCTGTTCGTTGTTGGTGGATTCGAGGCATTCACAGCTGTTTCGGAGCTGAGGAAAGCACGCGAATACTACAAGTCTTTCAAAATTCCTATGGTAAGTATATTCTCTAATAATGTTGTTCCAATCGCCCGACAAGCAGCATGCTGACTAAACATCAGGTTATCATCCCCGCTACCATCTCGAACAACGTCCCAGGAACAGAGTACTCCATCGGTTCAGATACTTGCCTGAACGCCCTCATTCAATACTCCGATGCCTGCCGTCAATCAGCATCGGCGTCTCGTCGTCGTGTCTTCGTTATCGAGACTCAAGGTGGTGAATCGGGCTACATCGCAACAGTCGCCGGTCTCAGTATCGGAGCTATGGGCGTATACACTCCCGAAGAAGGCATCAACCTCAAGATGCTCGACCGCGACATTGACCACCTCCGCGAGGTCTTCAAGAAGGACAAGGGTATCAGCAGGTCTGGTAAGGTAATCCTAGTCAACGAGAAGGCATCCAAGACCTACAACGTGCAAATCATCGCCCAGATGATCGCGGAAGCCGGCCAAGGCAAGTTCGAGTCCCGCCACGGAGTACCCGGTCACTTCCAACAAGGCACCATCCCCTCCCCCATGGACCGTGTCCGTGCCGTCAGGTTCGCCATCAAGGCCATGCAACATCTCGAAAACTACGCCGGCATGGATCCCGACGAGATCGAAGACGACGCTATGTCCATCAGCGTCATCGGTATCAAGGGCAGCAAGCTCCTCTTCTCCCCCATGGAGCAAGTGGAGAAGAGGGAGACTGAGTGGCACCGTCGCCGCCCCAAGCATGAGTTCTGGATGGCACTCAAGGAGACGGTCGATACGCTGAGTGGCAGGCCTCAGGCACCTGTTAACCCGGAGGATGCCGCTACGTTGGCTGGACGGCCGAGGGCTACGAGCAAGGCTTATGGGTATTAGAGTGTGGGGGTGTGGGTTTTGGAGAATGCGACGGAAGGGTTATGATTATGGAGTATGGTTTTTGTAGATAGATGGAGATGGCTTTCCTATGGTAACGAAATGACTTTGAAATGATACATGATTAATACTCATTTTCCACCTTCCTCAGGAGAGCTGTCTTGAGACATTGAACCATTGCTATCATCATATTGATGGTAGTAGACCGACGCGATTTCACCACACCCTATGGACGTACTCCAAGTTGCCCTCGTTGCTGGCCGAAATGGCACCTGGACAAGAAGCTGACTAATATGACGTATGCCCCTCCAACGCGAGCATAACTTTTCCCATTCGACATCCTAATCTCAGCCACCCAATCAACAGTCACAATGAGCGACACCAAGGAAATGGTCGTTATACTCACGGGAGCTTCTCGAGGTATGCTTTTTTCATTGCTCAGCTTTCTGTTCGGGTCAAATATCCATCACACTTCCGTAGTCTGCAACCGTCCCAGATATGTAACAAAACACGTACATGAAACGCATCATCAACACCAACAAGGCCTTCCATACCGCCAACTCCCTCACTAACCCACCCTCGCAGGCATCGGCCAAGCAATAGCCCACCATCTCCTTTCCCGCAACCACAAAGTCGTCCTCGTCTCGCGGACTGAATCTGCCCTGACCGCGCTCCAATCCCAATATGGCAACGAGAAAGTAGCTGTACTCGCCGGAGATATGGCGGATGCTGCGCTCCCGCAGAAAGCTGTCGATCTTGCCAATGAGCGGTGGGGACGCATTGATTCGCTGATTGTAAATCACGGGACGCTGGATCCGGTGAAGAAGGTGGCGGATAGCAGTGCGGAGGAGTGGAGGAAGGGGTTTGATGTTAATGTTTTTAGTGCGGTTGGTATGGTAAGTCGAAGTCTTGTTCTGCCGGATTCATTTCTCCGCCTATCGACGATACTTACTCAGACATTGAACATCAACATTACTTATCCTGGGCTCATGCAAGGAACTAACTCCCTACTCTATCTAGGTCCAAGCTGCCCTCCCCTCTCTCCGCAAGACTTCCGGTACCATCCTCCTGACCTCCTCCGGTGCCTCAACCTCCGCCTACCAAGGCTGGGGCTGCTACGGCGCGGGAAAAGCTGTGCTGAACCACCTCGCCCTCACGCTCTCGGTTGAAGAACCGTCCATTACTACCATTTCAATCCGTCCCGGTGTTGTAGACACGGAGATGCAGCGTGAGATCCGCGAAGTGCACCACGAGCGTATGAGCGAGAAAGACAGGACCAAGTTCAGTGGTTTGAAGAAAGATGGAGGACTGCTGAAGCCAGAGCAGCCGGGATATGTTATGGCGAGGTTGGCTGTGACGAAGGGCGAGGATGTAAAGGGTTTCAATGGACAGTTTTTGAGCTGGAATGATGAGACTTTGGGGGCTTTCCAGCAGGATTAGTTGGGGGCTTGTCATCCGGCACATGGCCGTCGCGTTTGACGCATTTCATTTATCGTCAACTAAACTCATTCGATCCGAATCATCTGAATCCGACTCATCTGAATCCGACTCATCCGGATCCGACTCATCCGAATTCGACTCATGTGGATACGACACATCTTCCTCTTCCTCTTCCTCTTCCTCTTCATCCTCATTGCGGTACTTCCTTCTAGAATCTGTAATCTCGCTCTGCCCGTCCAGAAACTCAATGACCTTTTCCTCCCAATCTAGGTACGGAGTCCATACCCTAATGATCTCATCAAGCGAGTATACGCACCTAATCGTTTCTGAATACCAATTTGACCTTGTGTAACCCCAAGATACACTGACTTGCGCTCCTTCCGCTTGGAAGGCATGGCAAAAAGGGACTAGAATGCCAAATAGTAAGTCCCATTGTTTGAGGCGAATCTCTGTTTGTGTGATCATGATACGCAGCTTGAAGTCTTTCTTCCGGCGGATACCTTTGGTGAGTTGGGCGAACGCTTCGCTCAGCATAGCTTCGTTGATCTTTGCCGGTGTATCCCATTGAAACTGTTCCTGCGTAAGATGCAGATCCATCGCTCGTAGATGCTCTGTTGGCAGTACACCAAGATTGAACACATCATCGTGAAGCAGTGAACGTATTCGTTCGGGACTCCTGACCAAGAAAGCATCTTTGCGATAGGCCGAAACGCGGTAGTACGCCTCCAAGGCTTCTCGGGCCGTGTCTAGATCGACGTATCCGGGATTGATGACTATGGGTTTCGTGCTGTGGCCGCCACGGGGGCGTAGATGTGGCTTCAGCCAGAGGTATGTACTACTTCCTGCAGCGGGAGACATGTACCCCGACGTTAGCCCGAGAAAATCCTCGTCCCAGATGTAGTCGTATATTAAATCACGCAGTTCCCGTGGTAGCCGGGCTTGCATTAGAGTGGCAAGGTAGAGGCATGCTACCTGCGCATAGCTCTGAGCGACTTGATCGAATGCACTGCACCCAATCAATTAGTACATTGATGAGTATGAGACATGGTGTTGAGATCACGTACCCTCCTCTGAGTAAGCCGCGAGCGCGATACGCTTTCCTTTTATCCCACTCTCCCTTTTCCTTGTGCTGCGACCAGACTGAGTTCCTGTCAAAGTGTCAGACTTCAATCTTACATCACTTCGGCAGTGAGGCGGCTGACTGTTCAGCCGTGCTTCTAAGTATACCATTGGCTTTGTTCCTCTTATTTTCGTTCATCGCAGTCGTGTTGATCCTCATTTGGGTGAACGCAGAAAGATAACCTGCTACCATCTCATGTCGCATGGCATGCTCCGGCATTCGCCTCTCTGCGTCCGCAAGTTCTTTCTGTAAGCCAGCCTCGCGCCTTTGTAAGAACCCTTGTCGTTGTGTAGTCATGACGTCGGCTACGTGGTTGTAACTTTTCCTCGCGCAAAACACCGAAGTTTGAGTTGTGACACCTGAGAAGCTGAAGCGCTAGTCCTAAAAGGGTGAGGTTCCCGAGGTCCGCTGCTAGTACACCAAAGGCCTCGGGAGCGTATTTCCAAAGGGTTTGACACGAACGCCCAATCTCAGAGGTGTAGCATCGCCCGGGGTGGTTGTTTCGATAACGGGACCTCGCAAAAGATGCTCTTTTGACCGCGGCATCAGGGCATATGCGATGGCATCAGCCGCATGATAGTCAGCACTAGCCCGCTGGCTAGTTCCAAGGTTATGGTTATACCGAGGCGCATTATCTTGCAGACGTAATCAATATGAACCATGTACTATGCAGATAGGGAAAGATCATGGGCGTTGAGTGAGAACAGAGAAATGTGCATCAAAATTAACTACATAAAATGGTTCCTCATAGCTTCGACTTAGATACGATCATAGAGTTGCCAATGTTCAACCACTTGACAGCATCTGTGACGAGCTCATCCACAATCTCCCTCGCGTTCTTCCTCTCGTTGACAACAGCAGCGACCTTGCCCATGAGGAACGGCCGCGCGTTGTCCATAGTCTCGTCGTCGAGGTCATCGCCCATCTTCTCGAGATCATGCTCAACGGGCAATATGCCCTTGGCAGTAAGGTCCTTGATCTCTTGTTGCCTGTTCTCCTCCCAGTTCTGGACATATGGGTTGGTGCGGATACGGAGTGGGCGTCCAGTGAAGATGATGGTGCGGATGTTGTCGTCCCAGCCAGCTGTGCGGACGGCTTCTTGGTGGGCCTTGGGCGCACCGGCTTCCTCGGAGAGGACGAAGCGTGTTCCGACCCAGACACCAGTGGCACCGAATGTGAGCATGGCAGCGAGCGACTGGCCGTTGTAGATACCGCCGGCAGCTACGATTTGTACCTGCTCGCCGGTCAAAGGCGACTTGTGGCCCTCGACCATCTTGACCGCTGCTGGGATGAAGATGGATGTGGGAACGTCGCCAGTGTGTCCTCCGCCCTCGCCTCCTTGTGCGCAGATGATGTCGACGCCGATGTCGAGGCACTTCTTGATGTGCTTGGGGTGTCCGATCATGTTCATGTAGAGGATTCCGTGCTTGTGTAGCTTCTCGACGACGGCCTTAGGTGGGACACCGACGGCGGAGACGAATAGTTTGGCGCCGGAATCGATGATGATGTCGACGAGCTCGTTCAGCTTGCCCTTGGTGTAGTCGTAGCTATATGCCGTTAGTCCCGTGCGTTGCATGTGATAGAGCGCCCAGTACGTACTTGGTCTTGCGCGCACTGCCTCCAACCTGAGGAAGGAGCAGGTCGATACCGAATGGCGCGTTCTTGTCGTTCAGGTATCCCTTCAACTCAGCGATCTGCTCGCGGAGCATGTCGGGTGTGTATCCGACACCGCCGATGACACCGAGACCTCCAGCGTTGGTGACGGCGGCGGCGAGCTTAGGTCCAGCAGCCACGTTCATGCCCGCAAGCATGACGGGGTGCTGGATCTTCAGCAGGTCGGTGAGCTTGGTGCGGATTTGCTCTGAGGTTTGTCAGCTGGGCACATGTGAATGAGGCGTGGATGCGTACGTGGAGAAGCCATGATGACGGTATGGAGGTTTGCGGTTGAGAGAGAGAAGATGCGAGGTATTTCAACAGCGAGAAAGGAAGACGAGTGGATCGAGGACTCGGGCGAATTCTTAAGGTTTGAGGAGTCGGGCCCTTTCTTATGGTTGAGGAGTCCTGGTCGACTCTCTGCAAGCCGTGAGCCGAGGCACGACGCATGTCTCACGCGGAGAGCGCTAACCACATATCGTCTAGTGCCATCCGGGGAAGGCTGTCGGCATCGCGCGCCTGCCTCTGTCTGTCCCACCGCGTCACATGCTAACATGTTCACTAGTGCATCCAGATGTTTGGCCTCGCTCAGGGCCGCTCCATCACGGTGTCCACGCCGTGTAGTCCTCTCAGTTGACGCCATCCACAGCAAGATCTCTAATCGATCGAATTTTCACTCTTCACACACTCAACGCCAGGAATGTGATACACCCTCCGACTCTCGCGTTCCGCGCGAGTCTCCATCGCAAGATGTGCGAAAAGCTTTTTCTTATAAACCAGCCTATTGTAAGAAGGAACTTGCCATCGTTGCTTTGGGGAGCAACATGGGCGACAGAGTGGCCATGATTGAACGTGCATGCAGAGAGATGGAGTCAAGTGGAAAAATAAAGATCGTACGAACCAGTAGTTTGTGGGAGAGCAAAGCCATGTACGTACTCGATCAAGACAACTTCGTCAATGGTGCCTGTCAGGTATGCTAAATAATGTCCCTTCTTCCAAACGTCAAATTCACACAAACAGATAGAAACCAGTCTGTCACCAATCGAACTCTTAGACGCGCTTCAAAAAGTTGAGAATGACATGGGCCGCGTTAAAGTCATCGACAAAGGACCCAGAAATATTGATTTGGACATTTTACTCCATGGAAACGAGAAAAGTTCCAGCGAAAGACTTACGATCCCGCATGCGTTGATGTTCGAGAGGCAGTTCGTTCTACGCCCTCTTGTCGAGTAAGATAATCATCTATCTGACCAGTAAAACGGTGCTGATCCTCTCTAGACTTTTGCGCAATCAGCGTGAAGATTACCCATTCTCGAATCAAATTAAACGCCATTTCAAAAGACTCCTTAAATCAGAGGTGCCGCTGGTGCCGCTGACGCCACTTGGACCAGATCTATCCCCAATATCGTCTTCTCGGATAGCGGATAACACAAGGATCATGTCTATCCTAAATGTCACACCGGACTCATTCTCCGATGGCGGCCAAAACTACAATATCGATGAAGCAACCCTAGCGAACACCATTCGCGGGCACATCTTGGCCGGAGCCACAATCATCGACGTAGGCGGACAGTCAACACGACCCGGTGCAGTCCAGGTCTCCGCGGAAGAAGAGCTAGAACGTGTCCTCCCAGCTGTAAAGCTGATCCGCTCAATGCCAGAGACAAACAACATCGCAATCAGCGTCGACACATACCGCGGCAGCGTCGCCGAAGCCGCCATTAACGCCGGCGCAAACATGATCAACGACGTCAGTGCAGGTGCCATGGACGACACGATGCTTTCCACCATGGGAAAACTCGGCTGCACAGTATGTCTCATGCACATGCGAGGCACGCCGGAAACCATGACCAGTCCTGAGATGACATCCTATCCCGACGGCATCATAGAGACCGTAGGCCGCGAACTCGTCGAGCGCGTTATTGCTGCGGAAAAAGCGGGTGTCAGACGCTGGCGTATCGTTCTCGATCCTGGTATTGGCTTTGCGAAGACAAAGGAACATAATCTTGAACTACTTCGCCGACAGGATGAGTTGATGAGGTATCCGGGTCTAGAAGGCATTCCTTGGCTTGTGGGCACGAGTCGGAAGAAGTTTATCGGCGATATTACGGGGGTCAAGGAAGCGAAAGATAGGGTCTGGGGGACGGCGGCTGCTGTATCGGCGGCTGTCAGGGGTGGTGTGCAGATTGTGAGGGTGCATGATGTCAAGGAGATGGCGCAGGTAGCGAAGATGGCGGATGCGCTGTGGCGCACGTGAACATGACGCGGCGCGACAGTCTTCCAACTATCTTCGCTCTTGCCATCATCTGGTGGGAGGTTTCAGGCGTCATCTGTGTTGTTGGTTCCGCTCCACGCGGTAGCGCTCCGGTTGGTTCCGAATCCTTCATGAGCGTGGTTGTCGACTCGCTTCCACAAAGCCTGAACCAAACAAAGAATACGTGGAAGGAAAACCTGTAGCCTCGAACAACATCCCACTTCTCTTTACCCTCAACATCAAACATGGCGAATCTTCGTGAGCTCCATCAAGAACTGCGACGCGTACAGGACCGAGTCTTTCAGTAGGTGGTTGCCGTACTACGTCGCTGCCCGTTTCGACTAATTCTCACAGGATCAAACGTCGTCAGAACGAGTAAGCACGTTCATACTAGATGCTGTCAAAGACCTGAAAGAAGCTAATGGTAGATTCAAGTGAACTATGGATGGTAAGTAGCTACTCCTGGAGTCACGATGATTGGAACGAGTGGAAAGCGTGAGTTCCTATGACTCCGAAAAGATGCAGGATGCAGCGTCACGGTGAGCAATAGCTTACAGACACAGTCTGAACAAAGAACTGGAAGCATCGTACGAATCACACTCAAAAGCCTGGAACAAACTTTACTATGCCAGAATGCACGACCGGCTACCGCGCGAGATCCGAGATATGATCAATGCCGAATTCTGGGATGAAGACTACTTGAAAGGCTTTGAAGGCTTTGAGGTAGCCTGGAAGGCTAAGGAAGAACCCACGCATTACCACCGTCCGGGGGCCAATCGTATTCTGCGCATCTCACATGTCGTCCTACCAGACTATGTGGGTGCCGAAGCGGCGAAAGAGAACGTCCAGATGTGGTACGAGAACTACGGAGCCATGGCTTCCAGCCACTGCACCTGGCTCGTACTCAGCGGCAACCTAGGTAAACATCTCACGACGGCTATATGCAAAGATACTTTCGGGGTGGGCTTGGATCCTGCCACTGCTCTCCGAAAGATGACTATCGAAGTTCCCGACACTTCTCTCGTGCTAGGCCACGAGCACTCCGACTTTAAGGACGCTACCTCACGTCAGGACGCGCTCAATCTCCTTCTTCGCATCAAGAAGAAGAGAGGATTCAAGCTCGAAATCAGAATCTACCACGATTGCATTCGTCTCAACATGTGGCCAGAAATCCTTGGTCTCCTGCAACCCATCGTTAAGGTGTTTGAGCAGGAAGGAGCCCACGTCAGTGTTCAGTCTGATTATGATCCTAACAGGACAGATAGCATGGATGAGGACCCGGGTGTTAATACTGATATGGAACACTTGATCAGGACATACGATCAGGCGACTTGGGAGGAGAGTATGAAGCCGGGTTTGATCGATTATTTTGAAGGGGTAAGACGGTTGTAACTTATCTGTGGAGTAATATCTGACAAGTCATATAGATTAGCGATGAGTATCTCAGACCGTACCACCGCTACTATCGTAGTGAAGAAGACAATCCAGGCTCTGATCCTGATGTCGCTGCCTGGAAACGCTACACTGGGCCCTCTGGTGTGCGGTAAGAAGGGTTTACCTCATTTGACAGGGAAAATGCCTAACTGGCAATGTGCCGATACTACATTAATCTAAACATTTAAACCACATGCAAATGTATAAGCTTGGCACATGAGGCGTTCAATAATCGTGAGGCCACCCATGAAGTACGTGTAAGTGGGGCAAACCGCTCATCTAGCGTGACTTCGCCTTACGAACATGATGATAATCTTCACTTTATGACTTCCGTAGGAGAGTAAATGCTTTTGACTCAGACTGTCATCTTATCTTCTTTCGCGCTATACTACCACAATGAGAATTTCATACGACTTGGAACAAGATGTGCGCGACACGTGTAATAGACTTTTCATGTTTGTATCTCCATTCTCATACATTGCTGCCTGGACTTCAGAGAAACTGACCTGCCTAACTAGCCTGAAACGCGCAAAAGCTGCTGCAGAAAAGAGGGAGCGTACAGCGGCAAAACATGAGTGGCTATCAGCAGCAGAGAAGAAGGCGGAAGTGCAGGCGTAAGTGACCGCCAGCTCTTCCTAATCTGTTCCATCGCTGACGTTGCCTTGTACACAGCGAGCTCGATGCATCCTGTGAGCAGTTATCAAGAGCCTGGAACATGCTACGCTCTGCTAGAATGCAAGAGCTACTGCCTATCGAGCTTCGCGAGATGATATATGCACAGATCTGGAATGCGGAGTATCTCAACTCCACAAGACAGCCAAGGCAGCAGTCCGGTCCTCTTGGCCACTCCGATCCGAGATGCCATACACATGTTGTTTGGCCCGACTTCATGGGCAAAGAGACAGCACTGGAGTTAGTGCAGGCATGGTACGAAGCAGCATCTACACTCACACCAGAAACCTTCACAATCTCCGATACCCAAGAGTCAATCAAACAAGCCACATGTGAAGACCGTTTTCAAGTCGGCTTAGACCCAGCAATCATCCTCAGGACTCTCACCATAGATTTCGACGAGACCACGTCTAGGCTCGCTAGTCCGTATTGCAAGTGGCTAGACGCAGACATACGCCGAAATTCTTTCGATCTCCTCCACCGGCTCAAGAAGAAGGCTGGTTTCCGACTCAACTTTCGTATATGCACTCCCAAGTTCCGATTGAACTGTTGGCCCGACTTCTTTGATCTCTTACAACCTATAGTCAAGACATTGGAGAATGAGGGCGCTATCGTCGACGTCCAGGCTATTCATTGTAGTCGGGGCCCTCATCCGATGCCGTATGTCTATGTGGACTTGAACAGTCTCGTCAGAGGCTATGATCCAGCGACGTGGAAGCAGAGCGTAATCGGATATCTTGATTCGGCAATATTGGCTCATCCGTTATCTCCATGCAAGGACAGCGCTGACAGGTAGATTAGATTTGTTACTGTCGCATTAGGAATCAGGACAGACATTATCGAGGGGAGGACGAGCCGGAGTATGATCCAGACGATAAGGATGAGGATTATTGGGACAGGGGCTTGCACGAAGATATGGGTTTACGACCTTCTGATCTGGATAGAGGGTTGTCGAGACGCAATTGTGGTTGCGATGGCTCTGGGAGGCGATGGTCGTTTGAGTTTGGCTCATGAGTCGTACGTGATGTCAATTGGAGCTGTCATAAACTTGTAGGCTGCAGGGAAGCCCTAGACAGGAAGGCGGTTATGAAAACGTTAACGGATGGATGCGGAGTCTTCTTCGGGGGTTGCAGCTCGCTGCGCTTCAAGGTTGTTGCTGAGACAAGGGTTCGGAATGTTCCGAGGCTGCCGCTGTGCCGCAGGTCCGCAGTCGACAAACATATAATAAACCCAATCACTTAACTTCTTAACCTCCCTGAGGGCCATACGTCTCACGCTCTCCATGCTTCCCACACTGTGAGCGCATCGCCATATACAGGCGCAATTATGGATACAAGCCTGAAATCAGCGTTGGACTGTCTACGCGAGTGAGTGTACCCGCACTGATCTGCCCCACTTCGCTGTTGTGCTAACAAGCTGGCAGCATCAAGCGGAAGGATTTCGATGCTCAAAAAGAGTACGTGAATTCCAGAACTTGTCAATCTCTAAAGCTGTACTGAGAAAGTGTCAGACTCAACTCAGTCAAGGATGAAATTGCAGCTACCAGAAAAAAGCTGGCTGCGTTAGAGGAACAACGCAAAGAGATGACGAAAAGGAAGATTAATGCGCTTCTCCAGTAAGTGCGAACAACTCGAAAACTTGAGATCAGTTCCAGTCTAATCTATTTCTATCCACCAGGAATCTTCCATCAGCTCTCCGGCGCTACTCTGCAGCCTGGAGTCTTCCATTCTTCGAGATGTTCCAAGAACGCCTACCCCGCGAGCTTCGAGATATGGTCTATGCGCACATCTGGGACAGTAAAACTGTGGCCGATACAAACAGAAGCATGATAGGCATCATGTCATCTGGTTGCCGGTTTTCGCCGCAAGACTGCGAGCACAACATGACGACGTTCGTCGAATCGGATGCGATTGACAGCTGCCAACATAACCTGGTACCATACTTTATAAAGCCAGCTTTCGCCGGGCAAGACTCTGCACTTGAAATGGTCGAGGCTTGGTATAGTTGCTTGACTCGCGGCAATACCTCCATTGCGATGGGAGTACCGTTGGCTCAAATTTCACCTTTCCTTCATCACGACAGATTTCATGTTGGTCTAAAGCCTGCAGCAACTTTGCGAAGGCTAGCCGTCGGTCTTAACGCTGACGAATTCATCGCGGACCTCGAAAAAAACCCAATGGATGAGGAGGGTTACAGGCAGTATTTCGAAACGCTTCTGTCCATCAAGAAGAAAAGGGGTTTTATGCTGACTATTCGTGTCCTCCAAAAATACGTTAGGCTCAACGTTTGGCAGCGAATCTTCGACATGTGTAGGGACACAGTCGCCATCTTTGAGAAAGAGGGGGCTCGTGTGCGGGTCCAGTTCGTATATAACAGCTTTCACCCTCGTCGAGTACCGAAATATGACATGCTCCCCGGTCTGAGGCATCCAGAATCCAACTGGCGAGAGGATGCAGTGCGCTTCTTTGACAACGTAAGACCTTCCCATCATACAGATCCTACTCAGTCAATCTGACCATACGCACGAACCAGGCTACACGTCTGTGCGATATACACAGGGCTTATCGTATTGAAAACAACGATGATTATGACCCCACTTTACATCCCGACGATGGCGATACCCCTTACGAGACCGATGAGAATATCTACGGTGATGAAGTCGATAGCAACGACAGTGTTGAACTCTATCGTCAAGATGATCGAGGACATCAACTAGGTGCTTTGTCTCCGCCACATCAGTACGGAAGTGATTTCATACAATGGAAGAACGACCTGTTAGACGATCTCGATATGGAAGAGAGGAAAGGGATCAAAGATTCGTACGACTACTGGGCCGACTTCGACCCGCCCAGCTGGGTGGGTGTCTCTCCCGAGCCTGAGTACGTAGATGGACCTGGGTACGACACAGTTTCAGGTTCCGATTCAGAAGGCCAGAATAGCATCACGTGATTGCCTATCCCACTCGGGCTTACTACCCTTACTAGTTAGCTCCTCAATCATCTCAATACACAGGATGCTACGTAAATCTCTCGTAACCATCAGACGTTTGTGAACACTGATTTATACCATGTTGTATGGATGATATACTGCAGCCATCTTCATAGTGCAGGTACTCGGGTTTTCGGAACGCTAGCCGTTCCGATGCCACCCGTGGACTAGAGCGCGAGCGCCTACCCACTTTATGTTCTAGCGACCAGACTTCAACCTCCAATCCACCCGCACCGATTGCGCCATCCAAAGACAGTCATGGAGAAATCAACCACCGTCGATTCGAAGCTATTGGAGCAGTTTGCATTGCAGCGGCTTCGCGCGTGAGTCTTTCGGCGCAGCCAGCAACACCTCATGAATCTGTTCTAATCTAGTTGCAGCATTCAAGGCATGGAATTCGACGCGAATAACACGTACGCACAGCTTCTAGAGCTGAAACGACGAACCCTGTGTTAAACCGTTCTAGAATCCGCACAGCCACGCAGGACATCCAAACGTTGAAGGAGCAGATCAAAGCTCTGGAAAGGAAGAAGGAAAGATCGCGACAGCACAAGAGAGATTTCCGGCGCGAGTAAGTCCTGATATCCATGAATACGAGCAAAGACCTCATACAAGAGCCCAACGCAGACACCTTCCGTTAGCTCTCTCGGCGTTCACTGCATCATGGAGTAAACCCTTCTTCGAGCAAATGCAGGAACGTCTACCTCGTGAAGTCCGCGACATTGTGTACGCATACATCTGGACCAATACGACATTGAAAGATCCTTATTTGCAAAATTTTGCAAAGCTCGGATGCGCTCACCGCGCCACAGATTGCGACACCTTAGTAACAACGCATCACTCGGGGACGACGGACGACTGCTTTACGCATGGCCGAATTCCGTACTTCATGAGGCCTAGATTCGTCGGAGATGAGTCTGCCCGAGAGGTTGTCGAATCCTGGTACAAGTCGATATCAAGAGTAAAACCCGACATATGGGTACTACTGAACATACGCGAACTCGAATGCATCATCCATGGTGACGCCTTCTCTGTCGGTCTGGATGCCACGACCGTTGTTCGAGAGTTGACGCTCAAGCTATTGACTGACAGAGTCATACGGAAGAAAGACGACGAAACCAGCGAATCAAACCGAACGATCAACGCGCTGCTCCAAATAAAGAACAAGGCAAACTTCAAATTAACACTGCGGATAGAACAGTCATTCCTCCAATTCAACTGCTGGCCTACTATCTTCGACATCTTCCGACCCATGATCGAAACGTTTGAGAAAGAAGGCGCGGATGTAAGACTGCTTCTCGTCTACGCCCAAGACCTGACACCGAAGATGGAGTTTGATATGCTTCCCGCGTTGAAGGATCCCGAGTCTAACTGGAGAGAAGAAGCCGCCCGTTACTTCGACAGCGTAAGCAAACCAAATCTACATCGGTCGCTGCCTCACGCATAGTAACCCACAAAATAGGACTACCGCGTACGCGAGCATCATAAACATTACCGCATCGAAAATGACGCAGACTATGATCCAGAGAGCCTAAAAGACATGTACTACAGCGACGATGCCTATCAGTCAGACGATAACCAGGAAATTGACTGGGACCCTGGTTACGATGGAATCAACGATGATGGCTCCACGTGGGAAATTATGGACGGGAGGAGACCTCCTCGTTCGCCTTCTCCATCGCCGGCACGTTTTTTTGGAACTGTGTTTAGAGGGGATGAGATCGAAGAGGGGTTTTAGTAGGATAGTGAAGGTGAGGAGGAAGATAGCGAAGGCGAGGAGGATGACTAGAAGGCCGGAAGTTTGTCAATTTGTCAGACTGGCAGCATTGCTTGTAAAGCTCTGATGTCTTTGCCAGAGCTTCTTTTACTACAGATATCCCTCTTGGAAGACATTAGGACATAGACATTACCTTACCCGATCGTGATCAGCAGGCGAGTACTGAATTCAGAGAAATTTCCCTCTATGTTACAGGTCACGCCGTAGATTCAGTACGCTACCAAGAAATTGCACATCACTGTACAAGCTACGCGGACTTCTGGAAGCCTCTCTGTAATCAGAAGTCTGCGAATACTAATAGATACAACATTTTAGGGATAATGTATGTCAGCTAGCGAAGTAGCGCAGAGTTTCCCTACGTCATGGCGTCGGGACAGCTCGTGTTCCGAAGCCACTAGAGCGCCTTCCCACTTCATGTATCCAGCCACCGTACGTCAGCTTCCACTTTGTGCTCATCCTGGTCGCGATCCAATATCAATTATGGTAACTTCAAAAGCTGATGATGGTGACCTAGAATGGTCCATAAGACTGCAACTCCGCACGTGAGTTCGACGCCCTGTCTGCGTGAACATCCTTTGCTGCACTATCCTAATCTACTTGCAGTATCAGATACAATGACCCCGATGCAGACATGGAGTACGTCGCAATGTCACAAGGTCAAATGCACGTTACTTGCTAAAGGACCTGCAGTCATTCCCCATTTACACCGAAGATCAGGGCGTTGGAAGAACAACTCAGCCCGCTGGTGCCCCGCCGGTGGGAAGACGAGAAACTGCGAAAGAAGTAAGCTCTACAATTTCACTAGATCATACCATGTGTCTGACACAGCGTCTGCCAAACAGGTACCGTCCCTCAGCGATATGCCGTGCCAGCGCAACATGGAACCTTCGCTTCTGCGAAGAGATGCAAGCGCGCCTACCCCTGGAACTGCGCAACATGGTGTACAAGCATATATGGGACTTTAATACAACCTTTGAAACCTATAATGGACTAGTGTTCCTCGCCCAACGCCGTTGCCAGGGCTCCTCTGAAGGCAAAGAAGAAGAATGCCAAAGGCTAGCCTCAACATCCGAACCCGGAATAAAGAGCAGCTGTCGTTCACATTGCAACACGCCTTTCTTTATGCGACCCGGGTATGTGGGCCAGGAAACAGCACGGGAGGTTGTAGAAGCTTGGTACAACGCTGTCGTTGCATGGTGGCCCAAGACGTGGAATCGTGTCTCTCTTGCCACGGTCGAGTACATGACACGCACCGACGCTTTCTTCGTTGGCCTAGACCCCTCAAGCATCCTTCGTACTCTCAGCCTAGAGATATACATCGACTTCCTCTTCATGACGTACGACCGCAACGGACGGTCAGACCAGGAATGCATCGACTCGCTCCTCCGGATCAAGAAAAAGGCCGATTTCAGATTGAGCATTACCCTCAAGCAGAAAAACGTCAGCTTCCACTACTGGTCTTTAGCCTTCGACATGCTCAGGCACGTAGTCGATGTATTTGAGAAAGAGGGCGCAACTGTCCAAGTCACTTTCATTTACGATCACGACGGGCTGTACCCGAAACTTAAATGGAACATGCTGGAAGCATTAAAAAGCGGCAACAACGACTGGAAGGCGGGCGCAAAACGTGATTTGGAAAAGGACCACCGGTTCAGAGAGAGACACAGGGTGTATGAAGCCGACACCCTGGCTGAAGAATCGGATTACGACGAACTGGATTATCGTTCTGATGATGATAATCGTAAAAGACCGTACTATGGACCACACAGCGATGACGGTGGCGGGTCCCCCTCAGGGAAGGACTATTATGCGGATAATATGTACAAAACGTATTTCGAGCCGCGAGACTTTGAGACTCCTCCTCCTCCTCCCAAAATACGCCGGCCGGCGTGGGAAGACCATATACGGTGGGACGAATGAGGTCCTTGTGCGGACTAAAAGCGGTGGTCATGGTTGAGGCTTTTAAGTCGAACGCATATTCTGGAAGATGAACTTATGACATAAACACTACATATATACAACAAGGCATCAACACCCATCAACACCTATAAACCTCCCCCTCCTACCCTCCTTCACATCTACAACTTACTCCCACCGCCCATCAACTCCGCACCAGCCCCACTAATAGCCAGCTTACCCGTCTCCTTAACCTTAGTCTGGAACAGCACGGTATTACCCACCTTCCACATCTCGGTAATCAGTGTCTGACCCGGCAGCACAACACCCGCAAACCTGACCTTGATGTTCTTGAACGGACCATACGTCTGCAGAACGTGTTTACCGGAGATACCAAAGCTGCACAGGCCGTGCAGAATGGGTGTGGGGAAGCCGCCGGCTTTGCTGAACTGGGGGTCGATGTGTAGGGGGTTGAGGTCGCCGGAGAGACGGTAGATAGCAGCTTGCTCCTCGGTTGTGCGTTCCTCGACGACGGTGTCGGGGGCGCGTTCAGGTGCCTTGTGGATCTTTGTTGCGGCGCCGCGATCAGCACCCTTCTTCTGGCCGCCGAAGTTGCCGGAGCCGCGGATGAAGACTGTGCTTTCGTTGTAGAAGATCTCCTCGCCCGTCTTTGCGTCCTTGGTTACGCTTCCGTATACGACGAGCCCTGCGGCGCCCTTGTCTACGACCTCGACTAGCTTGGGTACGGCGACGAGCTTGGCTTCGGTGGGGATGGGGAACTTGCGGATTTCGAGGAATTGCTCGCCGTGAAGGAGCATGCGCGGGTCGAAGTTGGGGACGATTTCGTCGAAGGAGAAGGGGGGTTCGGCGTTGAAGGGGGGGACGACACCGAAGGTGGGGATGACTTGGAAGTTCTCGTCGCCTTCGTAGACGAAGGGGAGGTCGGTGCGCTTGGCTCCGATTCCCAGGTCTGGAGATGGTGTTAATTGTAGTTACTCGTATGGAATGAAGCTGACTTACTGTAAAGAATGACATCCCTCTCGGTGTACTCGAAGGGTGTGCCTTCAGCCTTAGCAGCCAAGGCCTTCTTCTGAGCCTCGAGGACTTCCTCGTTGCTCTTGGTGGGCTTCTTCTCCTTCTTGCTCTTCTTGCTCGTGTTCTCCATGTTGGCCATGATAGACTTGAGACCACTGGCGTTGTCGAAGGGGTGGTCGGCACGGCCATCGTCGAAGTTGGTAATGCGTTCCCATTGGGAGAGGACAGCCTCGGGAGTAAGCTTAACGTCCACGGGGAAGCCGTGTCCGCCAGAGCGTTGCCACCTGGTCGCCGCAAACCAACCAGAACCCATCTCGTATAGGCCACCTGTTGGCTCGGGAGCCTTGTCGGAAACGAGGAGAATGACGAGAGGAGCGTTGTAGTCGGGCTTGAGGGCCTGTACAACCTCTTCGGGGAAGATGCTGCGGGTCATCTGAGTGCCGGCGTTGGGAGCAACGGTGTTGACGAAGATGTTGTTCTTCTTGCCCTCAAGAGCGAGGGACTTGGAGAAACCGAGGATACCGCACTTGGCTGAGGCGTAGTTTGCCTGGCCGAAGTTGCCGTAGATACCGCTGGTAGAGGTGGTGTTGAGGATGCGGCCGTACTTCTGCTTGAGCATGTAAGGCCAGGCGGCCTTCGTGCAGGAGTAGGTACCGAACAGGTGAACCTTGTGGATGATGTCCCACTGCTCGTCGGTCATGTTGGCAAACGCCTTGTCGCGCAAAATACCAGCGTTGTTGATCAGGATGTCGATGCGGCCATACGTCTCAATGGCGGTCTTGACGACAGACTCGCCATCCTGGACATCGCCCTTGTTGCCAACAGCCTCTCCACCGAGCTTCTGAATCTCCTGGACGGTGTTGTCGGGGTTCACAAGATCGTTCACAACGACCTTGGCACCACGCTTCGCCAACTGCAAGCAGTAGATGCGACCGAGACCAGCACCTCCACCAGTGACAAGGGCGACCTTGCCCTTAAAGTCAAGGGGCTCACCCTTGGGGTTGGGTGGCAGCTGGTTGGCATGCTCGAGGAGCTCAAGCGCGTTCGCCGGGCCTTGTGGGTGTTCGGCCTTGGAGAAATCGACGATGTCCTTCCACTTGGCTGGAACGGCTTCGGGTGTGAGGGTCTCGTCGGCCTTGAACAGAGCACCAGAGGCTCGCTCCCATCGTAGCTTGGCAACGTGACCTGCGCCGGCCTCGAAGATAGCGCCAGTCTCAGTGGACGACTTGTGTGTAAGGACAGCGACGAGCGGGACGATCCACTCAGGCTTCATCTTCTCCAAAACATCCGGAGGCATGACGGTCTCGGTCATTCGGCTGGCGGCGATCGGGGCGACGACGTTGCAGAGGATGTTGTACTTCAAGCCCTCCTTTGCGAGTGTCTCGGTGAAACCGACAAGAGCGAGCTTGGCAGCTGTTGAAGTTAGCAGGCGTTCATCTCTTCATAAAACGCATGTACATACCAGAGTAGTTTGTCTGTCCGAAAGATCCGAACAGACCGGCAGCAGACGCGGTGCTGATCACCCTTCCGTACTTCTGTTTCCTGAAGTATGGCCACGCGGCATGCGCGCACTTGTATGCTCCGAGGACGTGGACCCGGTAGATCAGATCCCAGTCTGCCTGCTTCATGTTCTTGAAGCTGACATCGCGCAAGATACCCGCGTTGTTGATGAGGATGTCAATGCGACCGAATGTGTCGATAGCAGTCTTGATGATGGACTCTCCGTTCTCGACCGAATCGTAGTTGGCGACCGCCTTACCGCCAGCGGCGCGGATGGTGTCAACGACCTTGTCTGCGGCCTGTCGGGTGAATTAGCAGTGAATGAAGGATTAGAGCTGAAGAGACATACCGCTGAACCCGCGCCCTCGCCCTTGAAGCTGCCACCCAAGTCGTTCACAACGACGTTCGCGCCGCGACTGCCGAAGAAGACAGCATACTCGCGACCGAGACCACCACCAGCGCCCGTGACGACAACGGTCTGGCCATCATATCGCAGCTCCTGCGCAGCCATGATGTGTTTTCTGTGCTGTTCGAAGAGGCTACCCCTTCGTTCTTTCGCGGAAAGAAGTTGCGCTTGAGGAATCTCCTATGCAAGCAAGCAACAAAGGTATTTGTAAAGTCAAATGGGTATCAGCAAAGATCCCAGGATAGAAAAGTGCAAGATTTGGAAAGTGCGAGGATGAGAGGATAAGTGGCTGGATGCGTGGAGGATGGCTCAAAAGTAAGGTCGTTCGCGATCTGACCCGGTCGTGTCTCATGAAAGCAGCCGAGCTGTTGATGATGACGAGTTACCTCGGTCCCGACGGCAGTTGGTCATGTGTGGGGATTGCGCACCGTGCACCTCACGCTTTCACATGTCCGCGTCTTGCTCCCCATCATCAGCTGGACGAGTCCGGGGTATCACATGATAGTGATTAGAAAGTGCGTAATCTCACACTCGCATATCCAGAGCGTGCAGTCTTGGCTGGAGAAGTTCGATGAGATGATGATTCTTGAGCGCATGTGGGGCTGCGAAATGCGCCGCGTGAGGCCCGAACACGTATCGTACGCGTCCTAGATATCGCGATATTGTGGTGCATTGGAAACGGAACAGATGCGATGGCGGATGTGTCTTCCCATCACAGCTGTATCATGCATTGGAAGTGATGGTCTCTTCTTCTTGGTCGTGTCACCAAAAGATGGGCGTCCTACCCGAACAATACCCCGAATGAACCACTAGCAACAGTAGTATATCCAGTACAGAGGAGCTTGTAGACCTCTTCGTGCTGCGTGATGGCACTCTGATTAACTTCAATCTACTACACGTCGCTGAATCAGATAATGTATAGCCTGCTGTTGAACATTGGTCTTGTTCTAGGCTTGCTATTCAAGCGCAGCAAGCCCGCGAAGTCAAATACCCACACGCCAGGCCCAAACCTTATCACCCGACTAAGCACAGTCGACATCATCGATCCTTTGCAAACACGATTCTCCTCCAGGATCATTGCAACCCACTCAACATCTGCACTATGCCGAAGGCAATGCGGATCCAGACCCTCATCGTCACCGCTTGTTACCGGCCATTTGCTCGCTCGCTCAGAGTCGAGGCCGAGAGACTCCACAGCGCTTTCGTACATGAGCGTCCTAGATACCATTCTTGCTACGCTGGCTCCCATCATGCGCGGTTCGGCCCGTTGGCGGATTTGACCGCCGTAAGTATTCGCGTACCTACCTTACCGAGCGTTGAGATCTTCTGGAATGCACCTATTACATGCCGTGTTTTATTACTGTCATTGAGTAGAGGTGTAAGGCGTCGAACTAGCGTAGTCGAATACTTGTAGACACTGAGCAGGGGAATGTGCGCCGGACGCTACCATGACCGACATCACACCGACTACCACATGACGGATATCATATAGTGAGGCAGACGACAACATTCTGCTCAGTTTGTGGCCGGACATAAATTTTGTATCTCTTTGAGTCGCGTTTTTCGGTCGACACAAGTGCCCCAAAGTCCTCGTAGGAACAAGCCGCAAATTCTTCCGGTGCAAGTGGCATGGTTGAAAGTTTCTGCTTTGTGGTGGCTACATGATGCACTACTTTCTAATGCATCGGAGTCGATGACAAAGCCGAATTCTGAATGGGCAAAGCTCGCGGGGAGGCGTTATAGGAGTAGTAATCATCGTCGACATACCAGCCTGAAGAATCATATGGATGTAGATTTTCGATGCGCGATTGTGGGCACGAAACACTCACAGATGCGGGTGAGTGTAACCCGCACGTCTCATCCTCCTTGCTTGATCCGGGTCGGATGGACTTTTCTCTTGTCACGAAACAGATGCCTGTTGATTTCTGGTCGGAATCGACATCTGGAGGCCACGTTTTTGCTAGAACGCCTCTGCTATCAGCGATACCCAGATTCTGGCGCCCCTGAGTGATCAAATGACAACGAGTGTTGCGTCATCAAGCCGCATACATCTCGACAGGCCAAAAGTCGTGTGGGGGGCTTG